CACCCCTTGAGGTGGGGGTGGGGGGATGGCCACACTGCAATCTCTTATCCTCCATTCTCCTCCCGGGATCTTGGGCATACACACACAGGTGCCTGGCATGAGTTTCAAGCTACTGAGTTGGACACTGAAACCATGGTTGACCATGTGAGTCCAGGGATGTGATCGCTGTACCATCTGCTGACCCTATAACATATTACTTTAATAAAACATGATTTAACTGGGAGTGGAATTATACGTTTTGTTTTTGTTTTTGTTTTTGTTTTTGTTTTGTCCATCCTTTATGCTTTCAGAAATTAAAGCAACATTTTTTCCCCCCAGTTTGCTCTATGGTGTGTGTGCTTACTGGGGGAGGGGAAAGAAAGAGAAAAAGGGAGAAATCACCCCCTGGGGAGATGGTCACATGGCAGTTCCTTCCCTGTTCTCTTTTTAAGATTTCGGACACACATACACACACACACACACACACGTGTGTGCTCAGCATGTTTTTCAAGCCACCAGGTCTGGGACTTGAACCAGGAAGTTGGCTGTTCGGGATCCACCTTAATCACTATGCCACCTGGCTGGCTCAAATTAAAAAAAATATATATGTATATATGTGTGTGTATATATATATATATATATATTTCATCCACAGCGAGAAAGGCAGGATGTCATTATGCCACAATCCACCTCCTCTTTCCCAGCCTCCAGCTGGATCACAGGTGTTCATGCACATGCCCTCCCAGTGCATTTCAGGCCAAGCAGGGTCTGAACCAGGGTCTTCCATGTGGCTCGCATTGCAGAGCAGTGCCCAGCACCATGGCTGGGCCTCTAAACATTTCTTTTCTTTTCTTCTTCTTTTTTTTTCATAAAAAGCTGTGCTGACCATCTTTCTTATTTTACTCAGGAGACATCACTAGGGTCGTGATCTGCGGAGGCCAAGACTCCCCTAAGGTTTAGGTTTGTAGTTTGTACCTCTTTTGGGAGTATTTTTGTTTTTTTAATTTTTGCCAGAGGGTGCATGTACTTGCCAGACAGAGAGAGGGATATGAGGGAGGGGAAGGGAGAGTGTGTGCACCCTTCATGGGATGGTTATGTTATAATCCCTTCTCCCTTTCTTCTTCCTTTTGGGATTGTGGGTGTGTAGCACATGCACCTGGTGTGCTTTTCAAGCCACTGGGTTCAGGACTCTAACCATGGCATTGGTCATGTGAGATCCATCTTCTTTAACCCTTATGCCACCAGCTGGCCTGGATATTTTTGACTCCAACTTCACTGGTTTAAATTGTATTTTTTTTTTAACTTAAAGTTTGTTTCCTTCATGAAGGAAAGAGAGGGAGAGGAGCACACCCTTAGCAGGGTCTTCACCCTGAGATCCTCCCTGCCATCTCTGCATCCAGCAGGACCATGTACCAGGGTGCTCAGGCAGACTCAAGACACTGACCTCAGAGACTGTGGCTTCCAGTATCATCCCCTACTGCCTGCAGTACTATGGCTGAGTCTAAAAGGCACACTCTTTTGCCCCCTACTGCACCCGCGTGTCATTTCCTCAAGTTCTAGTAAAATGTTTAGGGAAGGCCTAGGCTTTTCACAAATCATTATGTTGCTTAAAGGCACAATTTCCTGGTCCTATACACTGTCCATTAAGATAGGAGGCAACAGGGGCCAGGAGGTGGTAGGTGTTTAAGGTGTTGAATTCCCAAATGGCTGACTGTGGGTTGAGTCCTGGACCCGGTGGTTTGAAAATCATGTGGGGTATGTGTGTGTTCAAAATCTCAAGAGAAGGGAGAAGAGATTGTGTCGTGGTAATTCCCCCTAGGGTTTGATTTTTACTTTCCCTCCCTCTCTATTTCTCTGTCTTGCTTATCTCCAGTGAGTGCACACACCCTTTGACAAAAACCTAAATAAGATAGGAGGCATCAAAATGCTGTGTTCTATTGGTAAAGGTGACCAAAGTCTATAGCAGAAAGAAATAGCAGAAAGAGATTATTTTCACAACATAACCATTCAAATGCAAAATCATACTTCAAAATCACAGTTGATAAGTAACTTGCTTCTACAAGTAATCTAGGTCTTGCCAATAACTTTCATACATACATAGATTTTGAGTTCCTTAGTTTTATTCATGATAGAGGGCATGTGTGTGTGTGTGCATAAGACAAAGAGAAAAGCACCCCTGGCAAGATCTCACTGTGATCCCCTTTACCTAGTCCTCTACCTCGTCAGGATCCTGGGTGCAGGTGTGCATGGACTTGGTATGTTTTCACCCTGAATTGCAGTTGGTCATGTGGCTTCCAGTACTGCAGCTCAGTTTTCTAACTGTGCCGCCAAGCTGGTTAATACTTTCTTTGCACAAAATTTTAATTCTACATGAACTTCATTTTCACGCTTCCGACTACTGGCTCTTTTAAGGATATGTTTGATTCTTTTCTGGCTCATATAAAGCGGAGAGAAAGTAATGACAGAGGAAACCAATAGGAAGGAGCAACAGTATTTTTCTTCTTCCTCTGTCTTCCAGTTTACCTCTAGTACCTTTTACTGGCAGATTGTTTTTAGAGAATTTTTTTTTGCTATAGGGCACGTGCATTTAATGAAAGAGACGGAGAGACAGAAAGTGAGAAATCACCCCCTGGGGGGGATGGCCATGCTGCAATCCCTTCTCTTTTATTGCTCTCTCGGGACTTTGGGCTCATATGCACATGTGCCTGGCATGAGTTTTAAGCCACCAGGTCCAGGACTTGAACCGTGGTCGATTACGTAGGAGTCCAGTGACATAACCATTAATGACTACTGGCAGATTTTTTAACCATGAAGAGTTAGTAAAGAAATGTGTTTGGGCCAGCCAATGGCTTGGTGATTAAGGTGGCTGGATACCGCATGGCTGACTGTGTGGCACGGGAAACCAGGAGCCAGTGGCTTGAGGAACAGGAGGGGAGGGAGAAATGGAGAAGGGATTGCTGCATGACCATGCCCCATGGGGGTGCTTTCTTACTTTTCCTCACCAGCAAGTATACATGTACTTGCAAGTTAAAAAAGAAAAGAAAAAGAAAAAAAGGAAATGTGGGTTGACACCCAGTCTCAGTGTCACAGGAAAATATGGAAGAGTGTGTCTTGAGCTGAAAAATAGTAACTGCTACATTCATACTTACTTCATATACAATGTTATGGCCCTGCTGCAGTGGCATGTGCTGGTAGATGCTAAAGCCACATGGGAGGCCCAAGTTTGATTCTCTGCTGACCCTAAAAGTCTGCATAGTGCTGTGTAGGTTTGCAGCCCCAGGTACTTGGGAGGCTGACGCAAGAAGATTGTTGAGTCCACACCTGCATGGGCAATATAATGAAACTGTGTGAAAAGGCTGGGCATGGTAGAGTGCACCTAAGTCTCTCAGCTACTTGGAAGGCTGGGGCAGGAGGATATCACAATGAGATCCTGCCTTTAAAAAGTTATTAGCTCTATACAGAATTTTGTTTCTATTCTTCTTCTTCTCTACAAATATTTTTTTAAAAAAATTACTTTTTACTTAACTTTATTTAATATTATTATTTTCCAGTTTGATGAAAGAGGGAGAGGACGTGAGAAAGGAAGCTAACAGGTCCAGGACTTGAACCATGGTTTGCCACGTGGGAGTCCAGCGCCTATAACCACCACACCACCTGCCAGCCCGTTTCTATTCTCCTAATATCAGTTCTTTAATATTATTATTTTTGGGGAACCAGCAGTTAGTGTAATGGCTATGTCGCTGGACTCCCACGTAGTCGACCTCGGTTCGCATCCCGGACCCAGTGGCTTAAGACTCACGCCGGGCGCGTGTGCGTGCGTGCCCAAGATCCCGAGAGGAGAATGGAGAAGGGGTTGCAGCATGACCATCCCCCCTGGGGGGTGATTTCTCACTTTCTGTCTCTATGTCTCTCTCTGTCTGGCAAGCGCACGTACCCTATAGTGAAAAACCTCTCAAAAAAATTATTATTTTTGGAGAGATTTTTGCTATAGGGCATATGCACTCGCTGGTGAGACAAAGCGAGAAATAACCCCCTGGCGGGAAATGACAACACCATCCATTCTTCTCTATTCTCCTCTCAGGATTTTGGGCAGGCGCACACATACACTCTCGGTGTGAGTTTCAAGCCTTCAGGTCTGGGACTCAATTGTAGTCAGCCATGTGGGAGTTCAGCGACATAACCATTATGCCATCTGCTGGTCCCTCTACTAGCAGTTCTAAAGATACATTTACTTGCATTTTTCTTTTCTAGATCATAGAAATGGGGGATAGAGGTAATTTAAAATCAAACAAACAAGTATTTGATCATATACAAAGAATATTACATTAGGCCTGAGAGATTTATGCTACTGAACGTCTGTCATGTGTGACAATGTATTAAAGTACAAGGATGAAGAGACCATGCCTCCTGTCCTCATGGGTTTGGAGTGGAGGAGCTTTTCTAACAACACTATTTCTAGTACTAAGTTTAGGTTGAGAACATTAACACTAACATATATTTCTATGGAATTTATTGGTTATGAAATGCAAATGATTCCTTATTCTGTTATAGAGGGATAGCTCAAGGGAGACTTATTACCATTTTCTGTTATTGTGAAAATAACTTTTTCAGCTCAAGACACACTCTTCCATATTTTCCTGTGACATTGAGACTGGGTCTCAAACCACATTTCCTTTTTTTCTTTTTCTTTCCTTTTTCATCCAGTGGTATAAAACTGTTAACAGAAATATTATCTGTAACTTATTTAACAGCTAATCTTAAAATCAAATTATCTATGAAGCATGAACTAACCTCTGAGATTTAAAATATGATGTGTTTACCTAATGTAGATAATAATTAAAAATATATTCTGAAATAGATTGATTCATTACCACATGGTAGGTTTTCCTTTTCTACTGAAATATAAGATTAATGCTTTACTTTATAACATTTTCAAGTCCTGCTGCTTTTTCCAGGTTTAAAACAAAAAAAAAATCACCAAAAGACACCAAACATCAGTTAGAAATCAGAGCCTGATTCACTTTCATTTCAATATATACTTTTATTTAGAACACAGCACTAACAGCATAACCATAGACGGTCACTCACAAATCTGTACCAGGAAGCACAGTATCTTTAAAATGTGTTGTTTTTCACACATAATTTTTAATTATAGCATTATTATTATTTGGTACTAGGATCAAAGACGACATTTAGATTCTTCAGCTTTGGGGCATTTAGTAACATGATGACGATTGTCTAGTCAGGCAGAGGAAAGAAATTCAAAAGCAGTTTCTTTTTCTTCTGCCAATTCTTTGGCAGTAAAATCCATCTTCTCACGTGAGAAATCATTAACAGGGAGGCCTTCAACAAACTTCCAGGTCTTATTCTGTTAGAAAACAACAGCAAATAAGAGATTTAAAATGAAATAGAATTGATCTCCCAGCAAGTAATGATCTAGTTTTACCTTAAAGTAAGAAATGTATTTGTTTTAAAGTCTGATTCTAAAGAAGAAAATCAAAACCCATATCTTAACTAACAGATAATTCTAATAAAAACCTGGGGCCACCAAGTGGTGTGGTGGTTAAGTCACTGGGCTCCCACATGGCTGAGTGCAGTCTAAGTCCCAGACCTTGTGGCTTGATAATCATGCAGGGTGCATGTACGTGCATACCCCAAATCCCAGGAGCAGGATGGTGAAGGGAGTGCCGTGCGGTCATCCCCCAGGGAGCAATTGTTCACTTGTTTCACTGTCTCTGTCTCTCTTGTCAGCACATATACCCTATCGCAAAAACTTACAAACACAAACCAACCTTAAAACCTGGCTTTAGAGTGGTTATAAAGACCAACTAAGTTGAGAACCACTGCTTCACTTACAAATAAGATACTATTAGTAGATATTTGATATGAAGTATAACAACATAATCTATCTAATGGGGAGAGTATCTCGCTTTATGAATTAATTCAATCTTTTAATGACCTAAAGTTGTGATACACACAATTTAAAGCTGAGAAAAATGTCTACATTAATAAAGAAACTTTCTGTACTAAATTATACAATTTTAAAGAAAAACATGTAACTACTTTTTCTCAGAGGGAAATAAGCCCAAAATTCCTTACCTTAATTACAACAGGGAATGAGTAGAGCAGATCATCAGGAATACCATAGGAGTTGCCATCAGAAATGACACCCATGGACACAAACTCTCCCTGAAAATAATATTTTACATTCTCATTAAGCATAGAGATTAGTTTATACAACCAATTCACATATGAGAAACTAAACCAGGTAACGTTGTTACTACGTACACAACTGTAACTGTGGAAGGAAACATCACCAGCACCAGGTACTTTCATGTCAAGATAACGTTAATGGATATTACCTCATTCCACCTTTGTAAATCACAAGTGAAGATGGTGAGAGAAACATAATCCTCATGGCCTCACATTCGTTTTAATAAGAAAAAAAGTCACTCTAGGACAAGATTTTAGTACGTGCTTCTTTATTTAACCCTAACAATCCCATGCGGTAAATGTCATGTAACAGATGACAACCAGCTCAGAAAGGTTAAATAACTAGCCAGGGAGCAGCTGGGCTGGGAGATGGACCTTATCTGCCAGCCTGCTAAGGCTTTGCTCTTTTTCCATTATACCACCAGTGAACAAAAGTAAGAGTGGCCTGCACAAATCACTGAGTTCTCACCTCTGGAGTTCCAAACCAGATGTCCCTGACATGGTCAGCGATGGCTTTTGCTGCAGACATTGCACTCGATAGTTTCCGAGCCTTGATGACATCAGCACCACGCTGCTGCACAGTCTGGGGTATGTATGTGGGGATGGCAGGCAGAGAAAACAGTGTTACTTGATCATGATAGCGAATGTTTCATCGATTCCATGTTAGCCCTGAGGGGAAAGGCTACGATCATAGCTTAATGGTCCAGGCCATTCCAATCCTCTCCCAAATCATGCAACTACCCAATGTTGGCCTCACTAACCTAATTCAGTTATAGGTACCAGTCTTTTTGAAAAGATAAAACTAGAAATCCCCACAGAACATTTATCACACCTCGTATAAAGAAATGGATGCTGGTAAGACTACAAAGTACTCTAGTGATTACCCACTTTGACAATCAATCTCAATTGTACAACAGATTAGATAAGACTGGCTCATGACTGGCTTAGTATGGTCTCAAAAGAAAGTATGTAGTCCTGAGAGCAACTGTGATAGGCCTGTTCTCCCTGAGGTTACTCTCCACTCCTTGGGCAGACACTCAGATCAGCAGTGTGGTATGTTTCTCAAGAGTTCTTTATGCTTGGCTGTTCAGAAGGCTCACAGCCTTTTCTCACCTTGATGAATTCTCCCTTGAGCCAGCTGTCATCTTTCAGAGCTTCATAAACACCAACTTCTTTTCCTTGCAGTTTCACCTTGGCATGGTTGACATCTGGATACTGAGTCGAGGAATGGTTTCCCCAGATAATGACATTCTTCACATCATCGGCAGTCACACCAAGTTTAAGAGCAATCTAGTTAAATTTAAAATAAATACATTATTTAGAGAAATGCTTTTTCCTGCAAATTGTGACCTGCTTGACAAATGCCCTTAGTAAAGATAAAAAGCATCTGAAACTTTTTAGAGAATACAACATTTATACAGATTTGTATAAAAAATGCACTTTATTGTTTAGCAATTTCCTAAAACAGCTTAATAATGTTAATAACTATGAACCTGAAATATTGTAGGACATCACATTTAAGTAGAATATTCAAGAGCAGAGAGCATCCTATAGTTTGGAATTTACTAACACAGTAGGCTTATGAAATATAAAACATTAACCAAGAGGTTAGTATTTCTTGAAGACATAAACGTGATTTTTTTTGTTTTGTTTTGTTGTTAATGCTTAGAGATATCTCCTCAGTACTTCTGAGAAATCAGCATTTCCTCTATGTTTTGGTGAAATTGTTACTATATATCATAGGCAAACTAATTTTCAAATAGTCTTCAATATAAAACTTTGGAGTTAAAAGGGGCTCAGATTACCAATGGATGCAAATGACCAAAGAGTCTGCATTTTAGATTAGAAACTGAAAATAAGTTAAATATAACACATACACAAATTATAATACACACAAATTTTAACAAATGCAAAAATCTCTAGCTGTGGGTTCAGAAAGCACTTTAGGATACTACAATGTCTTGCAATCACATGAAATACAAGAGCTACAGAAAGGGTTTTTGTCTTGAAAGATTTAAATAAAACAAAATCAACCTGATTATTTTGTGATTTGTCTGAAAAGGTATGTGTAGAAAATAAATTATGATTAGGTGTATGTATAATTTGTTCTTAATCTAATTTCTGATGAACCAGGAGGTAATGTGTAAAAAATATTTTAAAGTTGATCTGTTAGAGTGACAATGTGGGTGATATTTTCCTTTATACATAATAAGAAAAGTGGGAGAAAAAATTTATTTGTCCCAGAGTCCTATACTCCAGTACTATACTCTGGTTCTATACTATACTCCAATTCTATTTGATCATTCACAATATAACAAAGGGAATAGAGTTTCATATTTTACAGAAAATTTAAAAATGGTCCACTAGTGGATCAGCAGATGGCCTAACAGTTACATCACTGGATTCCCACATGACCAACCTGGTGGCTTGAAAATCACACTGGCATGTGTGCGTGAGTGTTTGAGATCCTGGGAGGAGAATGGAGAAGAATTATGGGGTGCCCATTCCTTAGGGGTGCGGGGGAGGGGGGTGATTACTCACTTTCCTTTTCACTGTGTCTATCTCTCCAGTGAGTACACCCACCCTAAGGCAGAAATCTCTTAAAAACAAAACAAAAAGAAACAAAACAAAAAGGATAGCAGTAATAGCCCTAAACTGGAAACAACCAAAATGTTCTTCAAGAATGGTTAAATAAACCTTGGTACATCTTATATACACAACGGAATAAATGGTTTAAGTAGAAAAACAAAAAGGAATGAACTACTCAATGTAAGCAATGACTTGCATGGATATGATAATCTGTAGAAATGTAGACAAAGGTTGTCAGAGGTTAGAGAGGTGGACTATAAAGGGGAAGCACGAAGGAGTTCTGTAGTGGACCATGGAAAAATTCTGTACCTTGACTATGGTGGTGGTTATAGAAATCTGTACATGTGATTAAATGTCACAGAATCTTTCACAAAGACAAACAAAAAAATAAGTGAATGTAAAAGCTGGTGAAATTGGAGTAAGTCTAGTAAATAGTATTGTGTGTAGTTTAGTAAATTCTACTCCTCACCCCCTTTTAAGTTTGCTAGATGGTGCACAGGCTTGCTAGACAGACACAGAGAGAGAAGGAAAGTGGGAAAGTACCCCACAGGGTGGTTGGCTATGTTGTAATTCCTTCTCCATTTCTCTTTTTGAGATTTTGGGCGCACACATGCACGCACCTGGTCTATTTTTCAGGACTTGAGCAGCACAATTATGTGGGATACAGCAGTCTTAATGACCACACCTACTGGCTGGCTTAATTTCCTGGTTTTGATAATATTCTATAGTTATATAAGATGCAGTAATGAAGCCAGCATGGAGGATATTCTGGGAAGAGGACATATGCCTTGCTTTAAATTTTCTATGGAAGAAATTATCCAAAAACAAAGTGAACTGCACAGCTGAAGTACTTTGTAATCTAAGTACATTATATCTTAGATTATTCTTTGGGAAATGCAAGATCTCTGGCATCCACAATACAGGACTAAAGTAAAACATAATAGCATCTGCCAAAGGAAGAACAACTGGAATAAAGGAAGACCCTAACTCTGGGCAATGTGTAAAATGTCTACTAATGATTTGTATGTCAGTCTTCACCTGTACCTGGCTTAAGGGACCAAACAAATCCCAAAGTGTCACTTTGTAGAAATGTCTTGATTACAGTCTAGAACTATACAGATGCCATACTAAAAAGCAATACTACATAAAAATGCCTTTATAACAATAAACAGTGATATATATATCCCAAAACAAAGCTTCAATTTCAGCCTCAAAAAAAGAAAAATGCAACCACTGGAGAAAGAAGGGTGATAGGCACATGAGACTTCTCTATATTATTTTTGCAACTTTTACAACTTCTGTGTCTATAATTATTCCAAAATAAAAAGTAAAAAGTAACCAAACAACCAAAAAAGATATGAAAAACATTACTTAACATGTTTGTAATGACTTGTCTTCATTCTCATTTATTTAGTCAAGTAAAAAGCTAATCATCTCTACTTTTGCTATGACCCTAAATTAGTGAGACTCATTTCTCAAATCCTAAAATAGTTAGATGATCCAAAAAAAAAAAAATGGACCTAAATTTTTTTTTTTTTTCTTTTGGACTGGCCCCATAGTGCAGTGGTTAGGTATTATGCATAGAGAGCCAGATTTCACACGGTGATTGTATGAACGTAATTTGAGTCCCCATTAACTTGAATAACACACTTAGTGCATGTGCGTGAATGCCCTAAATCCTGACAGGATGGAGAAATGGAGGAAAAGGGATTTGTGGCATGACCATGCTCATTGGAGGGTGCCTTTTCTCTCTCTCTCTCTGGTACCATATGTCCACTCTGGCAATGGAAAAAAAAAAAAAAAAAAGAGGATTCCTTTCCATTAAAAAAAAATTTTTTTTAAAAGTTTTTAGCTATAGGGTGCACATGCTGGCAAGAGAGAGACAGTGAGACAGAAAGTAAGAAATCACTTTCCGGGGGGATGGCCACAACGCAATCTCTTCTTCTCCATTCTCTTCTGGATTTTGGACACACAAATATGTGCCTGGTGTGATTTTTAAGCTGTTAAGTCTGGGCCTCAAACCGTGGTCGGCCATGTATGACTCCATTGCCTTAACCATTGCACTTCGGATGGCTCCCAATATTTGTGGTTTTGACATAGGAAATTACTGTGACATAAATTCTCCTTCTATAGTCCTACAGGTGTTAAAAGTCCTACAATAACAGTCTCCACAAATTAGTCGATGGTTAGTTTCTGGGGCACCTAGCCACTGATGTGCTTAACCTTTGGGGTAGAGTGGTACACTATCTAACGAGAACCATTTTCTGTGCGTACCATGACCCAAAGAACCTGGGAAGACATGCCCTTATCTTTAGTTGGCATCGTAGAGAACAAGGAAAATTTATGCCCAGGGCAAGTAACCTAGTATGTATTATTACCAAGAACTCAGAGCTCTTAACTTCCCTGAATGTCAGCTTCAACTTCCAAAGTACAGCTGAAGGCAAATCGCCTCTGGCCTCCTCTCCCATGGGACTTCTTGGCTCCCCTTAATCCCTTTGTTCTCATGAAGTACCTTCTTTTGTTCCTTTGATCCCTTGGGCAAATCCAATTGTCTGGATAGCAAAGGCCAGGTACTTTGCACCCAGCACAGGTAGTTTCTGAATATCATTCATGTCAGAGTTAGTCTAAATTAACACATAATCAGGATTACAGTTCCTTGCTCACTGCAGACACTTTTATGTATGTCACAGAAATGTTAAAGCTTTGGACCAATTCTGTAGTGTCAATTTCCCCCCACCTCATACCAGCTAACCGGTATCATTGTCAAATTACCCTGTCAGCACTTCCTAAAAGTTCAGACTGATATGCTGAAACGGTGCCTAACCAAGGACCTGTGAACAACAAAAAACATGTGCCCAAGTGATGGCTGAAATTTGACAAGATAGCTTCAGTTTCTTTCTTCCCTCCTTATTCATTTAGACTTTTTTCCCCACAAGGAAAACTATTTCAGGCACTGGGATGAAATGTCAGTAGTATTTCCAGAAGCAGCATTTTCCAATGCCAGCCTCCACCAAGGCCTTAGGCAGAACACCAAAGAAGGAGGCTTGTCAGTTTCATCATTTTACCTCCTTCTCCCTATAGGAACTAAATAGCTAACCATCTGGCAATCCAGAGACTACAGCTGCAACACATATAGTATCATCTTTTCCTTTGTAGTGTCCAAATCTCCTGCCTCCGGTCAAACAAACTTCCATTCC